TATCTGAAGGGATACCACATGATACGACATCACACCACATCCCGTGTCATCCGGTATGACAAAATCGTGACTTTATGATCTGCAGAAATTGGTTAACCTAGGCTGAAGTAAGATGATGTAAGCTCCAAACATAAGATTTGCACCAACGAATTCATGTGATCATGTGTGCATTAGCAATGGAATTGACGCTGGAAAGACATCCCAAAGTCATTCAAAAAAGCTTGCAGCTTTTGATTTCTTATTGGCAATGGATTGCCTTTGCTCATTGCATCTCATTGCTGAGACGTTGAAGCCTGTTGAAATACAATGAAACGCATCGCCAAGGAGCTTTTTCCCTGGGACGTTCTGTGCCACTTTGCACGCAATCGAGTGTTCGATGATGTACTCCGTATCCCTGCTCCTGGCACCCAGCTTGCCCAACAGGCAGCTTCCTGGACCAGATGCTTCACAGCAACGTGTGAAGGCGTTTGCGGCAGATGTTGGCAGCGCTGCCTTGCCCTTGTTGCGACTGACTGCATAGGGCCATGTTTTTCTATGTTTTTCTCAGTCATTCTCATTCATCGAATAGCACCAGGGCAGCCAATGATGTGCCATGATACATCATATTACATCATGATATTTCCGAACAGCTCAGATGCACGATGACGCATGGCAGCTTATCGGTTTTTTAAATTTCCAAGATGGGCGTGGCAACAAGCTGCCCATGTGGGGACATTGTGGGGTCTCTTGGGGGGACTTCCGAAGAAGGAAAAAAGCTGAGCCAGATGAGACATGATCATGTCCCACTTGGGTGCAGGTCTTGAGTATTATGTCATGACTAATTCCTATCCCAAGTATGTTATTGTCAAATATTGTCAATGAATGATTAATATCAATTATGTAATACCTGGAAAATCAGTTTCGTTTACCAACAAGCCATGGCTTGGGGTGCTAGCTGTTCATTTTGGCTAGGGTTGAGTTTACTAGGCAGCTGTTGAAGCATGAGTTTCTATTACAGTTCATTGACATGTGAGCCATGAAACATACCTTGTTCATCCTTTTTACCATGGATTTCACTATAAGTTCTGGATGCCGGAAGAATGATTTAGAGGGGGGGGTCCTAGAAAAGAAATATTTTTTTTCACTAGGTCCCCCTAGCATAAAGATTGGGGATTATATATATATATCAAAATATATTATTCATTATCTTATTCGTTATATTATTCGTTATATTATTCATTATATTATTCATTACAGTATTCATCATATAATTCATTTTATTATTTATTATATTATTCATTATATAATTCACTATATTATTCATTATAGTATTCATTATACTACTCATTATATTATTTATTATATCATTCATTATATCATTCATTATATTACTTATTATATTATTCATTATGTTATATTGTAATATATTATTATTATTATATATTATTATTATATATCATTATATTTAATTAGTAGTCTTTTTTATTATATTATATTATAGTATATTATATTTTACTATATTATATTATATTATACTATATTATATGATAGTATACTATATTATATAATAGTATGCGATATTAAATTATTATTGTATCACATTATATTATATCACATTATATTATTCATTATATTATTCATTATACTAATCATTATATTATTCATTATATTTTTCATTCATTTTTTCATTATATTATTCATTATATTATCTAATATATTATTTATTATATTATTCATCATATTATATTGTATTGTATTATATAAAATTATATTTAATATTATATTCCATAGAATATATTACAGTGTATATATTATATATTATCTATTATCTATTATATATCATATTATATTATTCATTATATTATTCACTATATTATCCAATGTATTATTCATTATATATTTCATTATATTATTCATTGTTATTTTCTATTCTATTGTATTATTATGTTATACTATATCATATTGTATTCTATTATGTTACGTTATGTTATGTCATCTTATATTATATTACATTATATTCTATTATGTCATGTCATGTTATATTATATTCTATTCTATTCTATTATATTATATTATATTCTGTTATGTTATGTCATGTTATATTATATTACATTATATTCTATTATGTCATGTCATGTTATATTATATTCTTTTCTATTATATTATATTATATTATATTCTGTTATGTTATGTCATGTTATATTATATTACATTATATTCTATTATGTCATGTCATGTTATATTCTATTCTATTCTATTATATTATATTATATTCTGTTATGTTATGTCATGTTATATTATATTACATTATATTCTATTATGTCATGTCATGTTATATTCTATTCTATTATATTATATTATATTATATTCTGTTATGTTATGTCATGTTATATTATATTACATTATATTCTATTATGTCATGTCATGTTATATTATATTCTATTCTATTATATTATATTATATTCTGTTATGTTATGTCATGTTATATTATATTACATTATATTCTATTATGTCATGTCATGTTATATTCTATTCTATTCTATTATATTATATTCTGTTATGTTATGTCATGTTATATTATATTACATTATATTCTATTATGTCATGTCATGTTATATTATATTCTATTCTATTATATTATATTATATTCTGTTATGTTATGTCATGTTATATTATATTACATTATATTCTATTATGTCATGTCATGTTATATTATATTCTATTCTATTATATTATATTATATTCTGTTATGTTATGTCATGTTATATTATATTACATTATATTCTATTATGTCATGTCATGTTTTATTATATTCTATTCTATTCTATTATATTATATTATATTCTGTTATGTTATGTCATGTTATATTATATTACATTATATTCTATTATGTCATGTCATGTTATATTATATTCTATTATATTATATTATATTCTGTTATGTTATGTCATGTTATATTATATTACATTATATTCTATTATGTCATGTCATGTTATATTCTATTCTATTCTATTATATTATATTATATTCTGTTATGTTATGTCATGTTATATTATATTACATTATATTCTATTATGTCATGTCATATTATATTCTATTCTATTATATTATTATATTCTATTATCATTAATTATTCTATGTATGTTATATTCTATTCTATTCATATATTATATTATATTTGTTATGTTCGATTCATGTTATTATTATATTCTATTATATGTCATGTATTCTATGTTATGTCATGTTATATGTTACATTCTGATTATATTCATGTCATGTTATATTATAATTACATTTATTTCTATTATGTCATGTCATGTTATATTATATTTCTATATTATTATTTATATTATATTATGTATGTTATGTTATGTTATATTATATTACATTATTATGGTCATGTCCTGTTATATTATATTCTATTCTATTATATTATATTCCTCGTGTATGTTATGTCATGTTATCGTATATGACATTATATTCTATTATGTCATGTCATGTTATATTCTATTCTATTCTATTATATTATTATATTCTGTTATGTTATGTCATGTTATATTATATTACATTATATTCTATTATGTCATGTCATGTTATATTCTATTCTATTCTATTATATTATATTCTGTTATGTTATGTCATGTTATATTATATTACATTATATTCTATTATGTCATGTCATGTTATATTCTATTCTATTCTATTATATTATATTATATTATATTCTGTTATGTTATGTCATGTTATATTATATTACATTATTTTCTATTATGTCATGTCATGTTATATTATATTCTATTCTATTATATTATATTATATTATATTCTGTTATGTTATGTCATGTTATATTATATTACATTATATTCTATTATGTCATGTCATGTTATATTCTATTCTATTCTATGTTATTATATTATATTATATCATTTTGTATCATATTACATATACCATATAATATCATGTTATATCATGTTATATCATGTTATATCATGTTATATTATATTATATCCATATCATATAAAATTATATTAAATCCCATTATATTATATCCCAATCCAGCGATTTCATCAGCTGAAAAGCGCAACTCGCGGACAGGGTGGCCTGACATCAGAGGAATTCTGTTCACTTGCCTGGACGTGCAACGCTCAAGTTGTGGGATGTTCAACAAAGTCCATCAGTTGTGGGTCAGAACTGGGTATGGATCAGGTGTGGTTCATGCCTGTTCCCAGTTGATAGTATCCTCCACATACTTGGGTGGTTGATGCAAAAAATGACAAAACGATGGTTGTCATTTCACAGGGAAGATTATGATTTGCCAGCAAATTTTGTATGGAACCCCCGGAAAGCTAGAAAAGTACTGCGAACTATTCAACCAAGGGCAAATTACTGTGTGGCGTGTCAAACCTTTTTGGGGATTACTCTTTTTATTCCAACAGCACTATAGCAACCCCCAAAGAGATACAGACGTTGCACACCTGGAAATGATGGAGACGACATCATCGAATGAAAAATATCCTGGAGACACTTTCGGCATCTTTTGACGGACCCCTATATGGGGGTTTTCAGAAATGGGGAGACCCCAAAATGGATGGTGTATAATGTAAAATCTCATCAAAATGGATGATTTTGGGGTACACCTATTTCAGGAAGCCACCATATTTCTATGAAAGTTGGATTGACTACTGCCGGATGGTCATGAATCGAGTATTGTAATACGGCTCGATATACACCCATTATGTTTGGATTCCCAGTATGGGATGGACGACCACACCACATATACTCACCATTGCACACATGAGCAACTCATGAATGCTTTACAAAGGTAGATACATCAAACTAGTTAACGGGGTTTGTAAACCAACAACCATAACCATTGATTTTATTAGGAACATCGGCAGTATACATCCATTTCTATTGCTGATCTCCCCAGCTTACGGGGTTCTTAGCCAGCCATCACGACACGTCGCCAGCCACATCCAGCCACATCCAGCCGCATCCTGGGTGCGATGTGATGACCTGAGGTTTGTAACCTTGGGCTTCTACCATGATCAGATGTTTCGGGCTGTTTTCAAGGCGCTAGAGGCGCCGTGCCAGCTTTTTAAAGGTCCCACCGATCTTTAAAGAAGCGTTAAAAAGCGTTCCAGCAATAATTAGTCTAAAAACACTTTTTCATGGGCCATCTGAGGTTGGCATTTTTTTCCTTCACAAGTGGCCGTGGTTTTGCCATATGTTCGCGTTCAGGACGCTCCGAGCATGCCGGGCGACACGCTGTGGGATAGCCCAAGGGAGGTTTTGGATGGTTTTGGCTACACATTATGGTGATTTCGCCCATGAAGATCCAATTCAAACTGGGTCTAAATGAGGGTTGATAGGGTTGGAAGATTTTCCAAAATCGATCCATTCTCAGGGTCTATTGGTCCATTGTTCTATGTGAAAATTGGGGGATGGTAACACCAAGAGTGCCTAAACATAGGTGATTTTACAACCAAGAAATAGGAGGTCGTTAAAGAATTTTGAGGTTTATCAGCCGCAAAACTTGGAGCAGAAACAATTTTTCGAAAGTTTTTTCGAAAGTATCATTTACAATTGGTTTAGTGGCATCATCTTTATTCTCAAACAACTGTGTTGATCCAATCCAAGTCATGAAATATGTCCCATCTTTGGGAATTTCTCGTCATGGATCCAATCCATTCCAATGCATTCCACCAGGATTTCGGGGATTGGGGATACAGACTAATATGGCAGTGTGTCAAAACCTTGTACCCCTGTAGTTCACATCAAAATAGCTGGTAAATGGATGTTCATCCCACTAAAAATGGTATTAATAGGTATTGATCCATAGCCATATGATCGGGGGATTGGGATTGGAAAACCCTCGTCATTCGACTTTTTCTGGGAACATCGCTTGCGCGAACACGATGGAATGATGGTCAAAAAACCAGCTGTTTTCAAATCCGATTGAGATGTTCCCAACTGGATATAGGTCAAAACTGGATAGCCCAATAAAGCGAAAATCTGTGCTCCCTTCTGGCCACCTCCAACTATTCCCCAAGATTCCATGGTAAGTCATGAGTTCTGGGTAGCAATGATATAGATAATAGCCATTATTAACCATTATTAACCATTACTAACGTTTATTAAAACTTATTAGCATCTATTAACCATTATTAATCATTGCTGTCAATTATTTGCAGTTATTAACATCTATTAACCATTACATACCATTACTAGTTATTCTATCCCAAAAATCAACTTACTGGTGCTAAACGCAGGGAATGAGGGAATGATCCACTGGCTCACTAGTAATAATCTATCCCAATTATGAATAGTATAGTAAACTTACCAATTATGAACAGTTAGCAATATCAATATATCAATATATCAATAGTATAATGGTATATTGATATTAGTATAATTGATATACTAATAGGATATATTGATATTAGTATAATATTTATTTGCAATTACTAAATATCAATATATCCAATTTTTCACTACCTTCGACGCAAGAGGTGTCAGCTCTACGAGATCCACCTGGCCTTGAAGGCCTTCAGGGACGACTACGGCAAATACGAGCTGGAGGAGATCGCGACGTCTCCCAGACGATGACATTAATAATGTGAATATATAATTTATATGTATATGACATACTAGTATATATATATTTATACATACATAGAGTATATGTACTGATATATAGGTATACATATATATAATGCAACTCTCTCCCTCTCTCTCTCTATATATATATATTGTATGACTGATTATCCAATGATTAATAAGTCTATATATATATAACTGATATACCCCTGCCGAAGGGACACTGAAGTCTCTAGACCTGGTGGCTCACGCGGACTCAAGAGCGTGTGTGTTGGCATCAAGAGCACAGGTACTATCAACAAATCATCCCATTGTCAGCGTCAATGGAAAGGCAATCGCCATAATGCGTCCTGCATCGTCTTGCGATACCCGTGCAATGCACCTCTGACCAGATTTTTTCTGAGAAACTGTTGAACATCATCCACTTTTTGTGTATCGTAGATCCTAGGTGATGAACGTTCTTGCTGACAGTACAAACCATAGTGTAGTATCATCAGCTTAGTTAGTATCATCAACTTACTATCATCAACTATCATCAACTTTTGCTATCAGTACTACCAACTTCACTCAGCAGAATCTCACTTCCAACATCAGCAACGAAAACATCCGTTCCAGGAATGCACTTTCAGATCAGGCAGAGTCGTCCTTACAGTCATGAGGAATGTATGGATATGACTAGAAATGATTGAACACAAATTATACCTCAAAACTCATGGGGAAAAAGATGATTATATAAGCAGTATACGGTACCCTATTTTCAGACATTCCTATAGTTACAATATACTTGTGTTTTTGGGAATGGTTTCGTGGGTGCCAGAGCGTGTTCCAGATGCTGTGTGCCGGATTGATGGGTCTCTGTCTGGAAGTGTTTCCGTGCCACCTCTCGCTTTAGGTGAAACTTATTATTGTGGCATGAGTTCTTAGGTCACCTTCTGACAAAACTGACAAAGCCAGCATGCTCCATCATTTCATTCGGGATCATGTTCACAGTTCGCACGCCTGCACGCGACATTGCTTCAGTCCGTCAGTCCGATCTCATTCCAGGTTTGTCATTGTCAAGACCCATTTGAGCAGTGCCAAGTCTGCCAAGTTATACAATTTGGTCGATCAAAATTCAAGGGGTAATAGGTGGCCATACTACCTGGTTTTGCCGGGGATGACCAGTACTTCATGGGACTCAATCCCAATCAACCAGCATAGCACATTTGGGTTTCTCTGAGTCCACTGGCCAATCATCATTTTTCTCCCCACTCTCCCCACATTGCAACTTTGGGGGTATACCAGTGTACCCCACGAAATCAGAGAGAACCTCCCCACAAAATTTCTTCACGGCGACAAAAGTCACCATGCGAGGATGCAGCAGTGCAGAGCTTGAAGGCTCACTATCGAAAACAGCGCGGTGGCAAGCGAGAGACTGAGTGAGCTGATCATCGGGTCGTCCTCCCCAAAACCATACACAAACAGACTCTTGGGGCCAAACCTTGTCGGCGTCAACAGTTTGGAGCTAATTTAGGTTTGGTTTAGAGTCCGGATTTAATTTAGGGTTTGTTTAGGGAAGTTTAGATTTAGTTTAGGCTATTATAGATTTAGGGTTGAATTGTGTCTTATTTGGGTTTGGCCTAGGGTTAAGTAGGGTTGGTTTAGGGTTGGTTTTGGTTTAGGAAGAATTCGGGGCTGCCATAAACTGTTTCTATACATACTGCCTATAGCGTACCCTGCCTTACTCATGACTCCTGCCTTGCTCATTGCATACCTTCATGCTGCCACCTATACATGATTCAAAGCGTACTTATGCGTACCTAATTACAGTATATGTTACGCACCTTATGTTTCTTCTATCTACTAGAAACAACAAAAACTCCCTCTTCACTCCGTACATACTATATACTTAACCGCCCATAGCTCAAACATTGCGCCTTCACAACCTGTGTATAATATGTGTGTATATACAGGCATCTAATATTAATATATATATATATATATAAATATATATATATATATAGATGTACACACATACTACCTACATTTTTCATAGCTCGTAGCGTGCTCATATACCCCTGTACACTCGGACGCCTCGAAGCCACGGCGGAACCATGGGAGGAAGAGGTGTGGGGTTGATCCCTGCTCAGATGTGTATATATATATATTATATGTATATAGATATAAATAAGTAGTCCAGGCATAGATTGGATCATTTTTCTCCAATCTCTCAGCAATTCCTCATACTTTTGGGATATTCCAGGGTCCCCATGCTATCGCCTACCAGGTTGAGAGACGTGAAGCTGGACCGCTCAGTGGAAAAGGTTTGCAAGGACCCGGGCCTTACCTCCATTTTTTCCCACCAACAAAGGAATGGATTAACTCCAATCAACCAGGGTTATATATCCGGGGTTGACATTGCAAAGCTGGTGATTTACTTTTGGGGAACCATGCTTGGGTCTTTCAACTTGATCCAAATTGGTGGTGTTTGTCGGCTCAAGATCTGTTACAATGTAGTTTGCACCCAATCCGGACTTCGAAGAAAGGCGCACCCCAGACCAGCAGAGAGAATTTCGGCAAAGACGCCTTCACAGAACTGCCAGAATTTCGGACTGTGATGGACAGAACTGCCTTCATTTCAACATACCCTCTGGTAATTTAACATAGCTATTGGAACTGGCCATTTATAGTTGATTTACCCATGAAACATGGTGATTTTCCATAGTTACGTTAATTTACCAGAGGGTACTTCACATTGGTTCATCCCATCTCTCAACATGTTCCTGGCCATCATTCACCAACAAAATCCGGTTTCCCAAACCGGGAACCGGGCAACCGTGTCGTGCTGACACAACCTGGCCCCCCAACGGTCCATGTTGAAACTGCTGCTGTGGCTGTGCGGAGTCTGCGGAGCTCTTCAGCCATCCGAGCCATTAAAGGCTAGACTCTTGGCATCGAAAATAGGGATGGGTCGCCAATGGCCAGGACTAAACCGATGGACAATGATGTTGATGATGGGAAAATGATGGGAAAATGATGGGAAAATGATGGAACATGAAAGATAATGATGGTAACATTTTTGATAGCATATTGAACTCAACATCTTGTGGCTTTTGGATGATTTTGGGACTACCCGGCCAAGATTCTTGAGTCGTTTCATCAGCCCTGCTGACTTGGATCCTGGTGAGGGTTCTTCTTCTCCTTCCTTGGCGTTTCGAAACTTTCCTCATTACTACAGTCCCACATGAGACACTGGGGGATGGCCAAAAGTGATGGTTGAAAAATATGCCTCCCACATCCTCCCACAGTATTTATTGTCGTATTCATTCAAGGAAGCATTTGCAGAGTTTACCCCTGCATTTGATGAGAGAGTCATTGCCAAACGTGCGGATCTTGCCTCAAAATCAAAAGTTTGGCTTGCGGATCTTAAACTTCAGTATTTCAATGTATTTCAAGTCCAACAGAAACCATCAATAAGCCTCAAAAACCATTAAAAACAAGTCAACAAACCATCAACAATTATGTACCCTGTTGCAATTTAAGAGAGCAACTGAAAATCACAATGAAGTTAAAAGCGATAAATCAAATCCTTGAACTAAATGGGCCATGGCTTCCATCATGTTCCATTTAGTTTAGGGCATTAACACAAAACAAATCCGCTGATGTTCCATGAATGTTTCATTCATATTCTACTATATCCCCATTATATCCTCATTTAGAGGATGGTTTTCCGATTAAAACCTTCATTCCGTTCGCTGATTTATATTCATTTCCCATTCATATATCCCTGCTATGGTTGGTTACAAATCTCCGTTTTCCTTGGTAAATCCCTTGCTTCGCCCCATTAAATCCAGTAATATTCCGTGAATAATATATATATATATACATAAATAATATAATATATATATATATATGTATATAAGTATATGTATATAAGTACATATATATATGTATATATATATATGTATGTATATATATGTAAATATATATATATATGTATTCCATTCATATTCCATTCATATTCCATGATATCCCTATAGCCCCAGTATGGTTGCTTATAAATCCCATGATTTTCCATACTGTGTTCATCCCATTAAATCCAGCGAGGACGTGCCATTGCGCTCCTGGCCTCAGCCTCCGCGCGGGAAGCGCAACTGGATGCCACGGATCAGGTTTTCTGGCAGCGACTTCAACGCTGTGAGCCTGGAAAGGACGAAAATCCCATGGGGATACCACGGATGATCTGGGTGTATAGTGTATGAATGATGAATCTCTGGCTTGTTTATGATATAATTATGAATTATGTAGAAAAATCTCTTAAGCCCCAGAAGCGTGAAATCCTACTAAGATAGCGATCAAATCTTTTTTTGGATACCTTTTTTTGGGTTATAG